GGGGCCATGGGGTGCTGTTCTGGGGGGCCATGGGGTACTGTTCTGGGGAGGACATGGGGTGCTCTTCCAGCAGGACGCCCAGGTAGGGTAGAGGCTTCACCCTGTTCCCTGCATGGGGGGACTGTGTCAGAGGAACTGCAGGGACGAGGCCCCTTTGCCGCCATGGGGTACTGTTCTGGGGAGGACATGGGGTGCTCTTCCAGCAGGATGCACAGGTAGGGTAGAGGCTTCACCCTGTTCCCTGCATGGGGGGACTGTGTCAGAGGAACTGCAGGGACGAGTCCCCTTTGCCCCATGGTCCTGTTCCCAGAGCATCATCCTCGCGGAGACTTTTCCCGCGCGCTGGCACCCTGCCCGCCCGCGCTCCATGAGCCCTTTGTGTTCCTGCCTTTTGGCAGCCGCTTTTTCCGTCACTCCCATTCCCAGATGAGGCTGACTCACCTCCCAGATTCGCACCCGCCAGCCGAGGCTCTGGGCCTGCGCTGGCCCCCAGGACCCCTGTGAGGGAGCAGCTCCCTCCCTGCCCCACAGTGAGCTCGGGCATCCCCACAGCAGCAGTTTCAAGATGGGGCAGCTGCCCAGGGATTTGCCCTGGGATTTGTCCTGGCCACGGATGCAGCAGCAGGAGTTCATGGCATCCCCGACTCTGCTCCCGCCCGCTGCTCCTGGGGCCGCGGGAAACCCTTCTGTTGTCATTATTAGTCATCGAGTGCCTTAAAATAGAAAACACGGGTGATTCCAGCCCAGAAGAGCTGCCCTCGCCTCCATGGCCATGTAGGCATTCCAGGGGGAAGGGAGGCCGGGAAAGTGTCCTCTCCCGCTCCAGGAGCAAACCCCATCCCGCAGTTTGCTCGGCCTCCCTGCAAGCACCCGACTGCCTCCCAAATGGCTCGTGGCTCCCAGCAGCAAGTGCAGGGCGCAGAGCTGCCCTCGGGGCTCCCATGGGACCCATCCCCATCCCAGGTCAGCGGCTGGCACTAACAATAGAGTGTCCGGAAAGGCCTGTTCAGACTGCGCTTCCTTTGTGGCCAAGGAGCCTCCGTGCTCCTGAGCCTCTTCGCAGTAAGGGCCCTTACGAGAAACGTCCAGGCCACTCGGCACTGCATTTCCGCAGCGCTCTGGGTCTCTCTTTTGGTTTCCATGTGACGTGCATTTTTTTTCCAGTCTCGGAAGACTGTCCGGAATGTGCAGTTTAGCGGCACTTGCTGCAAATGCTGTCCAAACCAAGCCCAGTTTTCAAAATCCTGTTTTGTTTTTCTTTTGGTGTCGCTACTGAGCAAGAAAGGCTGTTTGCAAACCAGACATGTTTGGAGGGAAGAATAGGAAAAACCAACTTTGACTTGCTTGCTCCCTTTGCCTGAAGCTCAATAGCAAATTTACAGGAGAAGCGGGATGTGGTCTGTGGAGTTTAGGCCTGGGACGAGGTGGCAGAGACCAGAGAGGTGTTTGTGGATTGAGTTAGGGAGGGACTGACAGGACAGCTCCGTGTTTGTCCTTTGTGTCCAAAGGGCCAGCGAGGCAAGTTCCTGAGCAATGTGGAGAACGAGCTGGAGGAGCTGGCGGTCACCATCGCGCAGACCAGGAAGATGCTGGAGCTCATCAAGGTGAGCGGGGCCGGGTGGGAGCTCACAGCCCCCGTGCTCCTCCGCGTGTGCAGCGGGGTGACGATCCCGGCTGGAAGAGGTGGCTTTTCCCGGTCGGCACTGCGTGATGGTCTTGTTCTGTCAGTGTCTGTCTGCATGTGGGGTCAAAGGATGGTGGTGACAGGGCCATGAGCTATCAGAGTGTGCAGGGTGTAAAATTGGTGCTTATTGGGGAGCAAGTGCTTGGTGACACCCCAGCAACCATGTCCCTTATTCCTGTATTAACGTGCTGGATCTGGCCTCTCATGTCACTTCTGGTTGCCTTTGTAACCTGGAAAGAGGAACATCAGGAGGGCACCATCTCTTAGATCCCTTCTCCGCAAGTTCAGAGGGGGTTTGTTGGTCCGTTTTAGCCTTAGCCAAAGGTAGTGTCACTACCTAGGGAAATCTGGAGCAATAAGCCACAGTGCCCAACCAACCTGGCTCCTCCGAATCAGTTGGGCATCTGCCACCAGGAAGGAGCTATGGAGGAACCCAGAGGAGCTGGTCCATGACACCTGGCTTGAAAGCACCTTGGACTTGGGTGGAGGGAGCTCTGTGGTGTCGTGGGCCCCTTGCAGAACACCCGGGGCGTTGAAGGGAAGGAGAGCTCTGCTTCCACCCATGCACCCGCGGGTGGTAAAACGCAGTCCGCTTCCCAACGCAGGGAGCTGCAAAAAAGAGTGGAGAAGCTCTTCATGGAGGCCTCCGAGGTGCTGGCGGCCTTCCAGAAGGAGGTGGTGGGATTCATCGAGGACGGCGAGCGCTCCAGGCTGGCCGAGGCAGAGGCCAATCTCCGCTGGAAGGAGGAGAGACGAGCCAAGCTGGCCCAGTGCAAGCAGAACCTGGAGAGCGTCCCCAGCACGGACACCATCTACTTCCTCCAGGTGTGTGGGGATAGCGCATGACAATGTCTCTCTATCTATACACATGTACATATTTTATTTATATATTTTATTTATTTACATGCCACCTCATTTCAAGTGGAGTGGGCTGTGAGGAGCAGTGGGATGTGAGGGCTGCAGAGTGTCAGTCCTTGCACTTTCCTCCCCCTTCTCTTCCCTTCTGCCGGCGAGGATCAGGCTGCCAAACTCTATTATCCCACCCTGCCATTTCGCAGCCGCTCGGGAGAAGCTGCTGTGTTGCCCAGACGTGGTAGTTGGGTGCCCCTCGCCAGCAGCCTAGCAAGGAGGGAACTTTTGGGAATGAGGTGCTGCTCCCTGTGCTGGGCATGGCCTGGGCCCAGCTTTGAAGAGAAGGTGCCAGGAACGCGTGGTTGGGAGAGCGCTCTCCTCCCTCTCGCAAGGCTGTTCTGGGGCCAAGCGCTGCGCGCTGCCAGGTCCCGAATCCTCCAGCGCAGGGCGGGGTGGCGGAACAAGAAGCGGCTTCGGCTTGTTTGAAACCTCCTGAAACGCTGTCTCTTTGGCGCAGGAGTTTCAGGCCCTCAAAATAGCCATGGAGGAAAATCTCTCCCCCGCTCCGAGCTTCCAGAACGAGCTGAGCTTCACCAAGTCCGCGCAGGCCGTGAGCGCGGTGAAGGAGGTCCTGGCCGCCGCCTGCAAGAACCAGTGGGAGCGCTTGCTGGGGAAGGGAGGCGACGGGCTGAGCTTCCAGGAGACGGAGGAAGGTTTGTGTCCCCCCGGCTGGAGATGCCAGCGGGACCCCCGTGTCCCCAGCACGGAGGGCGTGTGAGCGGCCGGGAGGTGTTGGATGCGCTGGATGCCGCCCGGCCCGGTCACGCTGCGGGTTTCCCAATCGCAGTCTGAGCTCGCGCCTCTGACTTGAGGTTTTATACATTTTTTCCATGGAGACCAGGGAACAGAGAGGCAACAAACAGCCTGGGAGTTAGGCAGGGCCCTGCGGCAGGGGGCAAGTGGCCAAGGTGGCCTCCTGTGAAGGGGACTTTTTCTTCCCGGGACAGGCGATCCTCTTCATGAGGCAGTCTGTGGCATTGCAAACTGCCGGCACGGGAAAGCCGCAGCATCGGGAGCCTCCCCATCCCGCCTGCTGTCACTTAGGCTCAGCTCCCTGCGGCCTCTCATTTTCTTGGATGCTCCAAGAAAAGGCAGCCAAGGGGGCCTCCATCCCTTGCTACCCGACAGGGATGCACAGGCTGGAGCCTGGGGGCGTATCGGGGCATGAGGTTGGGACAAGGTAGTGGGAGAGGGAAAAGCATCCGATGAATTTCCTTGGTCCTGCACAAAATTGGCCCTGTCCTGTCCACGCCTGGTTCCATCATGCCCCAAACTTGCTGCATCCTGGAGGCGTTTGAATTTTTTATTCTTTTTCCAATATGTTCATAAAGTCCCCCGGGCCAAAATGCAGGAGGAGGAAGGTGCATCTTCATCACCGTGCAGAGAAACAGGAGGGCAGGTGCCCTGGAGCCTTGACCCTGCTTCCTTGGCTGGCATCAACCCATTCATCCTTGTCTTTGCAGAGGTATCCGAGTCCCAGTTTCCAGACAAGTCGAGCAATCCCATCTGCCCGGAGAGCCGCGATTACTTCCTCAAATGTAAGCGACGGACTTTTGCTTTGACGCCGGTCGCTAAGGCCGGTCTCCCCTTTCCCCTCTGCGGGCTCCGTCCCACGTGCCCCGGTGGCTGGCGGGAGCTTTGCCGTGTCCAGGGGGATGTTGCTCAGCTAATGAGGAAGTCTCCCTGCTTCCCTGGCAACAGACATCATCTGTTTAGGAGATTTGCTTTCTCCCTTCGTCTGTGGTTCTGCCGGAGCAGCTGCTGGCGGGGTTGCAGGGATGTTGTGTAGCTTGTGCTGCGCTCCAGCCCCTGGCAATTTGAGCCTCTGTTTAATTAATTAGAGTTTGTGCATCTGCTGTTCTTCCGTGGAACAGCAGTTTGAGGAGGGTCAGCTTTGATTGCATGAAGCTGATGGGTATTTTGGGGGTGGAAAAAAGAGTGTTGCGCCAGTAGGGCAGCAATGTGGGGACAGGAAAGGAGTCCAAGGGAGGACTGTGTGAGTCGAGAAAGCTGACGACAAACTGGCTGTTGTCTGAGGAGGTTCCCAGCCGGCAGCACTGCCTGGGTGCTGATTGAGCAGGTCATGGTGGGACGAGGAAGGAGATGGTCCAAAGCAAGTCAGGAACCTATAGAACCTCACTGTGGGCAGGCAAGAAGTGGAGACCACCTGTCTCCATGGGCCACACACTGATTTTGCATCCTTGGGCTTGCTTCCTTCCTCCCCATCCCGGGACAAGCCTTCATGGCCGAGCTCATGTTCCCCAGCAGTCGTTTTAGATTTCTTCTTGCTTTTCCCCTTCATCTCATATTCTCTTCCTGCCCCACACAGTTGCCTTCATCATCGACCTGGACAGCGACACGGCTGACAAGTTCATCCAGCTGTTCGGCACCAAAGGGGCCAAGCGGGTGCTTTGCCCCATCCCCTACCCGGAGAGCGTGACCCGCTTCATCAACTGCGAGCAGGTGCTGGGCGAGAACGTCATGAACCGCGGCAACTACTACTGGGAGGTGGAGCTCATCGACGGCTGGGTCAGCATCGGCATCATCGCCGAGGATTTCAACCCGCGGGAGTCCTACGACCGCGGCCGCCTGGGGCGGAACGACAAGTCCTGCTGCCTGCAGTGGAACGGACAGAACTACGCGGTCTGGTTTGGCGGCTTTGAGTCTGTCATCCAGCAGCCCTTCTTCCAAACCATCGGGGTCTTCCTGGAGTATTCGGAGAAGGCCCTGACATTCTACGGAGTCAAGGACTCCAAGATGACCTGCCTGCAGCAGCTCAAGGTCTCCCGTTTTAAGAAGGGCCAGTTTGATGCTTTCCAGAACAAGATCAACCACCAATTCCCCTCTCTGTTCTCCTTCAACCTGAAACCTGCCTTCTTCCTGGAGAGCGTCGATGCCCACCTGCAGATCGGGCCGCTGAAGAAAGATTGCGTTTCGGTGCTAAAGCGCAGGTAACTCCCCAGGTCGCCGGAGCAAGGGGAGACCCAGAAGAGTCTCCCGCGCAGTAACTCGCCC